AACCAGCATTAATTTCTTATCAACCAAAAATTTATACATATGGGCAAATCTAAAAAACAGGTACACTTTCAAAACAAAAAGTTTAATTTTTTAATTTGTGGGCACACCTAAATATGTTTTATATATGATTCTTTCGTAATCTCTTAATAAATCAATAAATAATATAACAAAGATCGCAGAATATTTTATATTTAAAAGTTGGTTTATTCTGAAAGTATACCTCTTGCTAAGGTATCAAATTATTCGTAATTGTTTGTAGAATATAATACACACTTAAACAGTTTTTAAAATTAAATGCTTCCAAAACTATACGCGATAAACCGAATATTTTCAAAATTGTGAAAAGTAGAGTTACGCATTTTTCGTTACTTGTCATTTAGTTATTTTTTAAAACACACTTTAGTTACTAACTACATATGAAGTGTACACATAAATACTAATTACACATAAAATTTCAAACCAGTATATGGTGCACTTCAAAAGTTATGACATAATTAATTCTTCCCCTCCTAAAAATTATCTAAAAAATTCACTTGTGTTTAATATTTTTTTTTTTAATTAAAACATCTATAACTCAAAAGTTATGCAACAAACTGATAAAAAATTGTTCAGGCTTCAAGTATGTCTATGAATTATCCAAGAGCAACCAGCTTGATATAGTTCACAACAATGAAAATAAAGCTAAATAACACAAAGGTTACCTGTTTTTAGATTTGCCCATATACATACAATGGTCGAAATAATTATAGCCGCACCACATTTTGGCAAGTTTTAACATATCGTCGTTTAAAGTGCAAAACCGCGAATCAACAAAATGCAAACCCGCGTATCGGCAAAATGCAAAACCGCGTTTGTTAAGTTTTAGAAATTACTTTCTAGAGTGGGCAGTATATTTCAGGACGAATGGATAAGGATTGAGCCAAGAGCTTTTGTGAGCAAATCCAATTTTTGGCAGCCAATGTCAGTTACGCGGTTTTGCAGAATGACGATACGCGGTTTTGTACTTTAAACGACGATATTATCTTTGTTGTTGTTTAATTTTGGTTATTTCTTTATAAAAAGTATAGTTCATTCTTTAACAAAATCCGTGTAAATCCAAGTTTCTAACTTTGTGAAAAATTACAAAAAAAAAATCAACAATCCTTTGTAAAAATTTTGTCCAAGATGTTTCGGTTTTCTTCCATACAAAAATAAATTGTGTGTATTCGTTATATGGAAGAGATGGGACAAGAAAAATTCTAAACAATCAAACGTAATTTTTAGCCATTTGAAACTTGTACTTTATTCTACTAGAATGCAATGGGCTACAACACTGCATACTCAGAATGTTTCTAGGAAATCGAATTATAAGAGTTAGGACATTTTTACGAAAGTTTTTTGATTTTTTTTTTTAATTATTGCACAAAGTTTTAAGCTTGGGCTTACACGGATTTTGTTAAAGAATGAACAATATTTTTATAAATTAAATAACAACAAAACTAATATGTTAAAACTTGTCGAAATGTGATGCGGCTTTAATTATTTCGACCACTGTATGTATGTACTATGTAGGGATGTACATACATATGTATGTGTTTTTACTTTAGATTTAGAGCATAATATGGCGTGATCGCAGCATTTTTTCTTATTTTATAAGCATACATACATATTTTTGAGTCCAAATATGTATTTAATTTAGCTTTATCAATCTAATTTATTTTATGTTTGATGTTGATTAAGTATGTGCATGTGTACATTGGACCGTATCATCTTAGTAGCAAACACAAAAGTTCCCGCACGCCCCTTAGTCTAAAGTATTTTTGCAAAGTAACTTCAAAAAAAGTGGTCGTCTTTTTAAACTTTGAATTTGAAATAGTACCTTAGCAAAAGTTTAATGATTAAAGCTTTATAGCCCTATTCATAATATATAAAGTAGCTTAAAAAAGGTTTATAAATTAAAATATATTTTAATTTAAAATAGTTACTAGTAAAAACAAATGTTTTTAAACCAAGCTTTCTAAACATAAACGAACACAGTTCATAAATACTGCTTCACCAAATATATCGACTCGTGCGCCACCTATCGGCAAAATTTTTAGTGGAGTTATTCCCTCTAATGTAGTTAATATACGTCCTAAATATGAACCAAATCGGACTATAAATACGTGGTTTTTTAAATATCTCGACTCCTGCGCCACCTATCGGATTGCATTGTCATTGGGTTCTGAGCACACTGTGAAGTTTCAAGTCTCTAGGTCATCGGGTATTTGGTCAAAAATTGATTGCAAGATTTGCCCCTAACAAACAAACATACAGAGCAAGTTAAATAAAAGCTTGTAAAATATATGAAAACGTCAATTTATTAAGTTTTTTCAACCTACTTTATTTTTTATGAATAAGGCCATTAATTTACTGACATTAAGGTGGTATGTTAGCATGGTAGGAACTTAAAACTGATGGATAATTACTCGAACGGGGTACTTGAGGAAAATGAACTTTGGCAAAGAGAACATCGATATATCAGACTTTAAGATCGTTTTGATCCATTACGTAAAAATTTTTTTCTAATCTCAAAAAACGAGTCTAAATTTTCCGTCACAGACTCACTGGTGTTTTAGCTCGTTTTGGAATTACAGCGAACAGTATTAGCCATGTTTTATTTGTCCAGAAATTTAAGCTATTAGCTTATTTTGTATGGAGGACTTACCCAACATAATTATATTGGCCTATGAAAAGCTATCTTGGCTTGTATCTTGGACAAGAGGCATTGTCATTCAGCATCAGAAATTTTCTCCTTCAGCCAATCAGAAAGAGGCAAAAACTTACTTTGACACTATTTGCAGTCAAACAACTGTCAAAATTAGGCTAACATTGGAAATAAGCTAATTTCGTTTTATTTGACCAAGATTTAGCTATTTGCTTGTGATGGTTGAATAAAACATTGTTTCAGATCAGATAAAACGTTACAGTAACTCTTATCTAACTATCTATATATATAATACGCGAAGGGTGTTTTTCAATTAAATTCTGAAATAGGGCGCTCTTGAAAAGTTTATTGAGAGCGTTTTCGAACTGGCTGCCGAGATAGGTCGATCTTCCACTCTGCCATCGATATTATAGTAAAAGATATCTAAAAGGGCATATCGCGGGCTATTACCGTTTCGATTATGCATTTTAAGGTGCACCTCAACTTTTTTTGAAATGCCAGTTAGGCTACTCTGGCCCTCAAGGCCCCATATGTATGTTTAGCAATATGGGTGTTAGACGAAAGCGTTTAGTTTGAAAATATTTTGAGGAGGGTTGCCACCTGTTTGAAAAGTTATGTGAACTATGGGTGTCATCTATTCAAAAAGTTAAATTTAAATTATTTAATAAGTTAAATCAATTATTAAAAGACGGCTATCAATCGAAATGGGTTTAAATACTATTTTTTACCTTTATTTAGGAGGATTATCACGTGTTTGAACAATCAAATTCAACTTAGTTCACCAGTTTATTGAAATAATTTGTATCACAATGTCAGGCGAAAGAGATTTAGAAAGAATTTAGTTTAAAAATACTTTTAAAAAGGATTTTCACCTGTTTGAAAAGTCGAATTTAGTTAATTTATACACAATTTTTATGAAATATTAAGATGTGGGTGGCAATCGAAAGAGATTTATTAAAGTTTAAGTTTCAAAATATTATTGATCTAACTAATAACATTTTCTTTTCTCGAAATAATGGTGCATTTATTCTGCCCTGCGCCAGGGCTGTCAATTTTTTGTGTTCTTTTCTCAGCATCTTCACGTGCATATTGCGTGCTCTTTGCTTAAAATGTTGAACTCTGATAATGTTGCCATAAAAGTAAATATTTTTCGAGAAAAGAAAACGAATCTTTCGAATTTCAAAAATGAAAGTTCAAATTAAAGACCGTAGCCCGTAGATGTGCGTTTTATTAATTAAATTCAAACTTGTATTTTAGTTGTGAAACTTTCGCGGATTTTTCAATCTGTGCGTACTGTGTGCTTCTGATTTTAGCGAACTGAAATTCAATCACACTAAGATCAGAGCAGCGAAAAACAATTCGAATGATTTCGCCACGAAATCATGTGCAAAATTCCGTGAAAGCCAGAACAGGTCTTAAAATCTGTCCCAAAAATTTTACAATTATTCGAGAAACTACGAAAAATGCGATTACTCTTCCACAATTTCATGCATATGAAGTTGAACACAATTTAGGTGTGATTGAATCAAACTTTTATGGTGTTTTCACAATTCCAGACACCGTTAAATGAAAAAGGTCCTATACAAATGGCGAGTTGACAAATATAAATTTAAATATAAACAATACTGCTAAAAACTTATAAAGTGAAACAGATTACAAAAATGAGCACAACAATAAAAAATGTTTTAAAAATAAAATTCAACCACACAAGGGCTAACATGTGACCATGGCACCAACAACCGAACAACAGATGAACTTGAATGTACCGCAAATATGTACATTAGGGTGTATCACTGAAAATTATAAAATTCATTACATGTATTTTAAGTCTTATGCCAAAATATTTCGGAAAAAATGTTAAGATTTACATGAGGTAGACCGATTTGGAAATGCCTCCAAAAATCGCAGAGTGTATTTTGATTCCGTTATTACCATTTTTAAACATTTTTATGCAGATCTTTTTAGCTTAAACTCTTCTATCATCTGAGGCGATTTTATGGGAAAAATATTTTTAAAAACTAACTTTATTTATAAAAAAAAACTCGATTTTTGGAGGTAAATATTTTCAAATCGACCCAGCTCACGCTTAATATATTTCTGCAATATTTTGGCAGGAGTCTTAAAATATACAAATTTTTATAATTCCGATGTAAAAATCGTATAAATTTTTTGTATGTAGAGTATGCCCCCTAATGTACACAAATATTATATGGAATAGCATGTAAAACTAAAAATATGAATTTGATGTTAAAAATTATAGTTATGTTTGCTATGAAATTGAGCTACGAAATACATTTATTTCTATTTTACTTACTGTGCGTCATCTTCAATAAACATTTTCAAAAGTGCTGCTTTCCAAACAGGAGTCGAGCCTCAAAGGATGTAGTAATGCAAAATTCTAGTAATAATGCGCAATCTGTTGATATTCAAGTTTATCGCTTATATATATTCCTTTCCGCTTTTCTGATGGTCGTGGGTGCAACTGTATGGTATTGCTTTTGGGTTATTTTTTGTTACTGATGTAGTGTTGTATGTTGAACTCTGGTTGATATTATTGGACGATGTTTTATGTAATTTTTTGTAGATATGCTATTATTGCTGAATTCTTACTATATTCGATCTATACGAAATAATCTGTAATCGAAGAAGACATAGAAGAGAACAAAGAACAACTGATGTAAAAATGAATGGAAACACATAAATAAATGAAGAAACATATATTTATGAATTTTATATACGAAGCGGTTTAAGAAAAAAAAACACAACTACGTATGTATGTATGTATGTATGTATGAATACTAAATTAAACCAATGGAGACATTTATGTCAAAGAAGAACAAGAAATGAGTGTGGGCGTACATGAAAATGTACAGAATTCAAGAAAAAACTATTTAAACACAATTTTCTTTCTTAGGTCGACTTAGGCGGTTATTGCTTATGACCACAGATATATCTATTAGCAATTGAAGACTTACAGCCCGATTCTAAAAAAACTTAAAACCTTTTTGTCAAGGTTAAATAACGTAACAATATCATATAGTACGTGGCATAATTATAAGTTCACCCATATATTGAACGGTTTTGACTATTTATTTTGAATTTATTTTTCCATGTTGATTTTGATTATTATTTTATGTATACTAACAACACCATAAAAATCCAAGTTTTAAACTTTGCACAAAAATTAAAAAAAAAGAACTGTTTCATAAAAATGTTTAAACTTTTAACTAGAATTCCTAAAAAAAATGTTGGTGTTGCGCACTTCCCTCCACATAAAAAAATGCCAACATTCGTTATAGTTTTTTTTTTTTAATTTTTGTATATAATAAGCCATGTTAATTAAAAAAAAAAATATAAATACATAGTCAAAGCTAATCCGGATTTCTATGCATTTACATATTATTTTTTTTTTGTAAATTATAGGAACTTAAAGATTAGCAAATGTTGCGAATCAAGAGTTTTGTGCTACGATGGCATCGATTTGTTAGTGCATATTTTTACTTAAATGCATACATATATAGGCATATTTTGTCAAAAAAGCACACTCAATTGCATTTTTTATTAAACGCCGTTTGTCTAGAACAATTCACAATTGCAAGAGCATTCGCTGATTCAATGCAACTATTGGGTACTGATTTCGTCAAAAATTTTTTTAATGTCTCTGACACAGCGTCATATATCGAGCCCTAACTGTCAAATAAAACGTAAGCGCGATTTTTTTCAAAATTCTCTTTTTGATGCAGAATTGCATCTAGATGCCCTACGGGCATTTCTGCATCAAAAGGAAAATTTTTGAAAAATGTGTCGCATACGCTTTTTTGGCAGTTAGGCTTCGATATGGTATAATCAGCAAAGGCACAAAGTTACTGCACGTTACTTGTTTGGCACGCAATGCACCGAGTGGCCGAAGATGTAAGAGCTCGCTTCACTGATGTTGACGATTTAATATCGAATGGGAAAAAATATTTTGAAAATCTGCTTTGCGCGTTGAAGCTTTTAGGACCATGTATCCCAATATCGCTCTTCCGCCACAGCCAATATTAACGAGATAGGGAACCTGGTTAGAGGCGGCAAAATATTATTGCCTGCATTTTAAGGAATTTCAGATCTAAATGATAGTGAGCTTATTCAATATTTAAAGGGAAAAAAACAATAGCTTCAAATTAGATTGAAGCGGTTAGCCTATATCAATGCAAACTACAGCTTCTTGTCAGGAATAATAACTGAATTAGAACGAAAAAAATCGTTGGCTGAACAAGTGCATCTTGTGGAGATTGCTGTTACTACTATTCAACGTGTGCAGGGTGAACTTGGGCAAAAAATCAAGGAAAAATTGGATACCATTCAACAAAAAAATAAGTGGGTTAAGGAACTTAAGAGAATATCTGGTGTGCTAAGTAGCCAAATGGTCGCAAGTGACAGCTATTTAGTAGGGATCATACAACTTGCATATTTGTATAGATTAATACATTTTGGCAGTTACAGAGTGGTGTTGTCTGGAAATTCTTTTATTGAGCTGAACTCAAATTTCTAAACAACACTACTATGCACTGAGAAAAAGGATTAGTTTCGACAACTAAAGATATTTAGTTCCCGAATTTTGACAATATTTGGGAACTGTGACCAAGGATTGGGAACTATTACCATGGGTTGGTAATTATAACTAAATATATTAAAGCTTCTAATATTCATCTAGGTTGTACCAAATCGTTAATTTAGTTGAAGGGTTTGGTAAATACTAATAAATATTTTTTTGAAGCATATTTCTACAAATTCCATTCAACTTAAAGTATGGTTCATAAAAGGATGCCATTAAGCTCTGCTAATACAGATAAGCTTTCTTTCAACACATGGATTAGTCATAGTTACCAAATCTTAGTTGATCGATTTGGTTTGAGAGCGGAATATATTCATGCTTATGAGCACCCCCTAAATAATGATCAGCGCTCTCTGAGCTCATGTGTGTTTCACATACGAAGAGCGCCAGCTAAGCAATGCACACAGTCCCACTTATTGAATCGTTTGAATGCGCTAGTATGCCGACCATTACATAAAAACGATTCAATGAATGAGACTGTGTGCGTGGAAATCATTGCTCCGCTACCGCTGTTCGTATACGGGTGAAACACGCGTGTGGTTACAGAGCGCTCAGTAAGCTATGGCATGTCGATCACTGCGCTGGGTAGAGAAAGAAAAGTGTGTGCTATGACATGCCCAGGCTTGTTTGTCTCAGTTTCAGTTTTGCCATCGCCGCGAGTTGTTTCGGTGCGGGTATGGTTATTTAAAAATATAAAGTTTGATGCCAACCGGCGTTTCTCAGTGGATATATAATTCATGTGAATTATAATTAGAAAGTATCTATTTAGCCAAGGAAAAAGCAAAGCAGTATACTTAAACCAGCACTTCCAGCAGATATTGACCTGGGTTTTCGCACGACTATTCCTGTTTAATCGTTTCTTTTTAGGAAATTCTTACCACCATATACATATGTATTATTTACACTAGTAACTATTTATGTAAATATGTTTGTATTTTTTATGCTTAATATATGCAAATAAAAGAAGTAAACACAACAACCATCGAGTAAATTTTTATTTGTGTCAAACTGAAACTTTTTTTCCAATAATAAACGGTTAGCTGATTCACGTCTACAGCAAGTTCATAAAATTAATTGAAAACTTGTATCAACCAAAGCATTGTTTATATTTGCTCAACAATGATTTTATTCAACTAACACTATTGTCCACTCAAGGTAGTCGTTTTGTAATTATTAACAAATATACATTTGCCCCAACTAGAAGGCTCAAGTAAATTGCAGACTTTCGTGAACTAGATATTTATTTCGCCATATCCAACTATGCCACTTGGTCACTATAACCAAATCTTGGTTATTATAACTAAACCTTTTTCTGAGTGTGTGACTGCCAAAATGTACAAATCCGTACAAATGTACAAATCGTGTGATCCCTGCTTAATAGCTATAATCTCAATGAACTAACTTACTTCACGTACGGAAATTAAATATGTATTTTTGATTTATTGTAAATGGATTTTTAACTTCTTAATTTAAGTGCTTAATTTTTTTAATACATACATATTTTCAAATTTTAGATATATATTTAATTAATTTTGAGTTTTTCGTGGCACTAAAAATTACAATATATCCTTGTGTTAATTATAAACTTGTAATAAAATATGAAAAGTAAATAAAAAAAAAACTTAAAAAAGCAAAACAAATGCTAGAGGTCTCTTTGCACATTTTTTGTTTTGAGTGCATATTTTCAGTTTTAGTGCATATTTTTGCATAAAAATCCGGGCCCTAATTATCAATATGTGGTTGATGTCGATGCATTTCATCAAATTATAAGACCCCACATCGTTTTATGTAATACAAAATTTTGGTTAGTTACGGCTTTTTGTATTCCAGCGGCTATGTGAAATATGGCCTTTCTATAATAAAGTAACCATATGTATATACGTAAATATGTATCTTCAACCAAATTCTTAAATAGGGCGTTCTGAGATAGCGCGTTTTTGAACCGGCTGCCGAGATAGGTCGATCTTTCATTTCAGCCTTTCCATTTTTATTTTTATTATTTTTTATTTACTTATAATGTATTATAATATTTTAGTGTTATTTATGTTTTAATAAAATTTTATTTATATTTTGATCATTCTTGATTTTTTTTTTTTTTATATATAATCTTTATACTTTTAAATATTTTGTAATATTTAAACTTTTTTAGGTAGGTATTAGAAAATCATTAATAAAATATCAAATTCTATTAAAAGCCGGTAAAGAAGCGTAAAAAATAAAAATTACTACAATAGAAAAACAAAATAAAAATTGTGTGGGAAGAATGAAGCTAAAAATATGTTGATGTCTACATTCTGTACGTAAACAGTACAAATATAAACATTTCCCACTGTATGTACGTATATACAATGTAATATGTGCCAAAAATTTCAGTTGGACTTTGAATTTTTGTTTGTTTTTATTGTTTTCATAGTGCATTTCCTCATAACAAGTATTATTTTTAAATCAGTTTCTTTTCAAGATAATTTCGTTTTGGTACCTAATATATACATACATACTAATATCAAATTTAGAGATGAAAAATCATTAAACGTTTTTTTTCCTTTTTTATTTAATTTTTAAAAGTGGAAATATTATTTTTTTATTTTTTCTTTGCTGAGTATTTTTTCGTATATGTGACATATTAGCATCATTCAACTTTTCCATTCCTTGTTTTTTAATTTTTCATAGGCATAAGCTGAAAATTACTTATCTAATTATGTATTTCTTTCTTTTTCAAGCTTTATTGTATTCCTCATCTTTGCTTTTATTTTATTTTTTTAATTTTAAATTTTCTTAATTCGTTTAACTTTTTTAACACTTTTATTTTTGACCTATTTTTTATTTTGTTGTATTTCTCATTTAATTATTTTTTTACTTTTTAATTTCAACCCCTTTATTTTATTTTATCTCATTTTAATTTGCTAAATTTCTTTTTATAATTTCTATATTTATTAATTTGTTTTTATTGGCTTATTTTTATTTATTTAATTTTTTTTTATATATCTACTTAATTTTTTTTAATTTTTTGTCCATTTATTTTTTTCTCCTTTAACCT